GGCACTCTACTTCCCACCTCCACTCCTCGTTCAGAGTGCAGACACTCTACTTCCCACCTCCACTCCTTGTTCAGAGTGCAGGCACTCTACTTCCCACCTCCACTCCTCGTTCAGAGTGCAGACACTCTACTTCCCACCTCCACTCCTTGTTCAGAGTGCAGACACTCTACTTCCCACCTCCACTCCTCGTTCAGAGTGCTGACACTCTACTTCCCACCTCCACTCCTTGTTCAGAGTGCAGGCACTCTACTTCCCACCTCCACTCTTCGTTCAGAGTGCAGACACTCTACTTCCCACCTCCACTCCTCGTTCAGAGTGCTGACACTCTACTTCCCACCTCCACTCCTCGTTCAGAGTGCAGGCACTCTACTTCCTACCTTCACTCCTCGTTCAGAGTGCAGGCACTCTGCTTCCCACCTCCACTCCTCGTTCAGAGTGCAGACACTCTACTTCCCACCTCCACTCCTCGTTCAGAGTGCAGGCACTCTACTTCCCACCTCCACTCCTTGTTCAGAGTGCAGGCACTCTACTTCCCACCTCCCCTCCTCCTTCAGAGTGCAGGCACTCTACTTCCCACCTCCACTCCTCGTTCAGAGCGCAGGCACTCTACTTCCCACCTCCACTTCTCCTTTAGAGTGTAGGAACTCTACTTCCCACCTCCACTCCTCGTTCAGAGTGCAGGCACTTTACTTCCCACCTCCACTCCTCGTTCAGAGTGCAGGCACTCTACTTCCCACCTCCACTCCTCGTTCAGAGTGCAGGCACTCTACTTCCCACCTCCACTCCTCGTTCAGAGTGCAGACACTCTACTTCCCACCTCCACTCCTCGTTCAGAGTGCAGGCACTCTATTTCCCACCTCCACTCCTCGTTCAGAGCGAAGGCACTCTACTTCCCACCTCCACTCCTTGTTCAGAGTGCAGGCACTCTACTTCCCACCTCCCCTCCTCCTTCAGAGTGCAGGCACTCTACTTCCCACCTACACTCCTCGTTCACAGTGCAGGCACTTTACTTCCCACCTCCACTCCTCGTTCAGAGTGCAGGCACTCTACTTCCCACCTCCACTCCTCGTTCAGAGTGCAGGCACTCTACTTCCCACCTCCACTCCTCGTTCAGAGTGCAGGCACTCTACTTCCCACCTCCACTCCTCGTTCAGAGTGCAGGCACTCTACTTCCCACCTCCACTCCTCGTTCAGAGTGCAGGCACTCTACTTCCCACCTCCCCTCTCCTTCAGAGTGCAGGCACTCTACTTCCCACCTCCACTCCTCGTTCAGAGCGCAGGCACTCTACTTCCCACCTCCACTCCTCCTTCAGAGTGCAGGCACTCTACTTCCCACCTCCACTCCTCGTTCAGAGTGCAGGCACTCTACTTCCCACCTCCACTCCTCGTTCAGAGTGCAGGCACTCTACTTCCAACCTCCTCTCCTCGTTCAGAGTGTAGGCACTCTGCTTTCCACCTCCACTCCTCCTTCAGAGTGCAGGCACCCTACTTCCCACCTCCCCTCCTCCTTCAGAGTGCAGGCACTCTACTTCCCACCTCCACTCCTCGTTCAGAGTGCAGGCACTCTACTTCCTACCTCCACTCCTCGTTCAGAGTGTAGGCACTCTACTTCCCACCTCCACTCGTTCAGAGTGCAGACACTCTACTTCCTACCTCCTCTCCTCGTTCAGAGTGCAGGCACTCTACTTCCTACCTCCTCTCCTCGTTCAGAGTGCAGGCACTCTACTTCCCACCTCCACTCCTCGTTCAGAGTGCAGACACTCTACTTCCCACCTCCACTCCTCGTTCAGAGTGCAGACACTCTACTTCCCACCTCCATTCCTCATTCAGAGTGCAGACACTCTGCTTCCCACCTCCACTCCTCGTTCAGAGTGCAGACACTCTACTTCCCACCTCCACTCCTCGTTCAGAGTGCAGACACTCTACTTCCCACCTCCATTCCTCATTCAGAGTGCAGACACTCTGCTTCCCACCTCCACTCCTCGTTCAGAGTGCAGACACTCTACTTCCCACCTCCACTCCTCGTTCAGAGTGCAGACACTCTACTTCCCACCTCCACTCCTCGTTCAGAGTGCAGACACTCTACTTCCCACCTCCACTCCTCGTTCAGAGTGCAGACACTCTACTTCCCACCTCCACTCCTCGTTCAGAGTGCAGACACTCTACTTCCCACCTCCACTCCTCGTTCAGAGTGCAGGCACTCTACTTCCCACCTCTCCTCGTTCAGAGTGCAGGCACTCTACTTCCCACCTCCACTCCTCGTTCAGAGTGCAGGCACTCTACTTCCCACCTCCTCTCCTCGTTCAGAGTGCAGGCACTCTACTTCCCACCTCCACTCCTCGTTCATAGTGCAGGCACTCTACTTCCCACCTCCACCCCTCGTTCAGAGTGCAGGAACTCTGCTTCCCACCTCCCCTCCTCCTTCAGAGTGCAGGCACTCTACTTCCCACCTCCCCTCCTCCTTTAGAGTGCAGGCACTCTACTTCCCACCTCCAATCCTCGTTCAGAGTGCATTCACTCTACTTCCTACCTCCACTCCTCTTTCAGAGTGTAGGCACTCTACTTCCCACCTCCACTCGTTCAGAGTGCAGGCACTCTACTTCCCACCTCCACTCCTCGTTCAGAGTGCAGACACTCTACTTCCCACCTCCACTTTTCGTTCAGAGTGCAGACACACTACTTCCCACCTCCACTCCTCGTTCAGAGTGCAGACACTCTACTTCCCACCTCTACTCCTCGTTCAGAGTGCAGACACTCTATTTTCCACCTCCACTCCTCGTTCAGAGTGCAAACACTCTACTTCCCACCTCCACTCCTCGTTCAGAGTGCAGACACTCTACTTCCTACCTCCTCTCCTCGTTCAGAGTGCAGGCACTCTACTTCCCACCTCCACTCCTCGTTCAGAGTGCAAACACTCTACTTCCCACCTCCACTCCTCGTTCAGAGTGCAGACACTCTACTTCCCACCTCCACTCCTCGTTCAGAGTGCAGACACTCTACTTCCCACCTCCACTCCTCGTTCAGAGTGCAGACACTCTACTTCCCACCTCCACTTCTCGTTCAGAGTGCAGACACTCTACTTCCCACCTCCACTCCTCGTTCAGAGTGCAGACACTCTACTTCCAACTCCACTCCTCGTTCAGAGTGCAGGCACTCTACTTCCTCCTCCTCTCCTCGTTCAGAGTGCAGGCACTCTACTTCCCACCTCCACTTCTCGTTCAGAGTGCAGACACTCTACTTCCCACCTCCACTCCTCGTTCAGAGTGCAGACACTCTACTTCCCAACTCCACTCCTCGTTCAGAGTGCAGGCACTCTACTTCCCACCTCCTCTCCTCGTTCAGAGTGCAGGCACTCTACTTCCCACCTCCACTCCTCGTTCAGAGTGCAGGCACTCTACTTCCCACCTCCTGAACTAAAGTCCGGTAAATCTAGTTCCCTTAACCATTTTAAGTTACTTTGCTCTCATTCCAACAGAAGAAGCAGTAAGTCACCTGCCTCAATTTACTCCTGACATGTTCACACATGCCTGTTAGATGTTCAAGCTCCTCGCATACAAAACCTTCCTAATACCCTCCCTACAACCGTTCCTAGGGTGACCCCAACACTGACTTCCCTCAGATATAGACTTATACACCCTTCATGTCATCCTAATTTGCTAAATTTTCTGTAAATGCTCAAATTATCACAAAAACCTCTTAGACCTCAGGATAATATTTTTCATTACCGCACAAACCTGATCTCCAAAGTATGAATTCTCTGCAAAATATTCGCACACCTCAAATACGTCTCTGTTTGCAGGCTCCTCCTCGCAGCAACATTCACAACCCATGTTTCACACCCATGTAAGAGTGTTGGTACCACTATACTGCCCTTTTTGCCACAATGGATAACGTTCTTTACCTCCAAAGATGTCTCACTGCGCCACTTATCCTTTTCCTCACGTCACTTACACGGTTCACCTCTTTTATCATCGACCATCCGGCGACAGCACCACTCCTAGGTATCTCAACACACTCACCTCTCCGTACTACTCCATACTTTCATTGCAATTATTGCAGTACTACTACTCCATACTGTTATTGCAATTGTTGGAGTAATTGCATTGTAAAAGTTTGAAAGATAGTAAAGAAACCAGTAATGTTTGTAGTAATAGTAGAAGTGGAGGTATTAGTAGTGGTAATAGTAGAAGTAGCAGTAGTAGTAGTAGCTCTAGTAGTAAGTAGTAGTAGTGGTTAGTAATATTAGTAGGAGCAGTTGAGAAAAATGTAATAGTGGCATTAGTAGTAATAGTAGCAGTTGCAGTAGTAAGTAGAATTATTTGTTGGTAGTAAATGGAGGAAGTAGTATTAGTAGTTTAATAATATTGATAGCAGTGGTGGAAGTAGCAGTAGTAGCAGAAGTATTAGTAGTAAGTAGTACTGGTAGTAGTATTTGTAACAATAGTATCATTGATAGTACTAGAATGTAGTGATAAAATTAAACAGAGTTAGTAATAGGCAGTATAAGTAGTAACAGCAACAGCAGTAGTAGTAGTAGTTGTGGCAGTAGTAGTAATAGAAATAGTAGCAGTAGTGACAGTAATGAGGTAGCAATGATAGTAGAAGTGTCAGTAATAGTAGCAGAAATATAAGAATGTTTTCTCTAGTTAAAATCGTCACGGATGCCATGTAATTTACTTCTCAGTTGTATATAGTTAGACAAGTTTGCTAGCGATTAGTGGAAGGGGGATCGAGCCCCCAACACTTCTCAAAATAGTTCAGATGGGATGTTTAGTACCAGTGTTAATGTAAAATATTATTAGAGCATATAAAATTGTGGATTAAGATTTTGGGGATGTAAATTGCTCTCTCTTTGTGGTTCTGTCTAATTTATTATTTACAGTTCTGCGAGTTCCCACTTACATGTTTACTTGACGTGAGACTAAGTGTCAGGGAAACACAGTATATAGTAGAGCCTCCGGGTCGAGGGCCACAGCAGTGAAACTTGGGCTCACAAGAGGTTACACAGCACTTTCCTCTCCATCAGTGGGCCCAGCGGTCCATTTGACATGATTGGCTCTGCTCTTAGGACTTGAGTGCGTGTTGAGGGGCTCACTTGTGTACTCTATACTCCCTTGCGACACCAAAGTCCTCTGAAGTTGTGGTTTCCTCTCCATTTGATTTGTGGTCACCCCTAAGTCCTTGTGATGCGACACATGCATATGCGCACCCATGTGTGTGGTGGTTATGATGGGTGGACCGTCGCCATCAAGACCTGGGTGAGGCTGCACGTAGCTGATAGCAGCAACCTCAGGTACCTGAGGTTTCTGCAGAGGCCACTGCAGAGAGGCATCTGTTCCTGTGGTGTAGATGATCTGGGTATGTGTAGAATGATCTACAGAGAAGGTGGCAGGAGTTTCCTGGTGCTGGATGTGTACTGGTGATGATGCTCGGGGTAGGCATTGCTGGGACCCCATGATGTTCCCTGCTCCACGCTCCGCCGAGAAAGATCGCTGTAGACAATGCTGGACTGGAGATGATCGTAGTAAAGATTGTTGAATACCTGAAGAGTGGTGAAGAGAGTGCTGACATTCCGAGGAGCGTGGAAGTGTGTACTGGCTACCAGAGAAGCATGGGATATTATGCTGAGGACTAAAGGTGTGCTGTAGTGCGTGCTGGGTAGGTGACAGATCGGTACATGTGGCAGAGCAATACTGTGGTGGGGGCGGGATGTGGGCGGGGATTGTGAACACCGCCCCTCCGCCCATGCTGGCTGGGGTAGAAGCTGTTCCCGTGCTGCACTCAGATGTGACCTGGAGAAAAGTGAGCATATACACTAGTTACTTAACACTGACACCTGCTCTCATACACTCTTATAAGTCTGATCCGTCACACACACACACACACACACACACACACACACACACACACACGCAGTAGATACCACCTTTCCAACTGGATATCAGATCCTCAGGAAAGACAGAGGGAGCAGAGAGGAGTGGAGGAGTATCACTGCTCATCAAAAACCAATGGGATTTTGAGGAGTTGAGAGGGCAGAGGAGAGGCATGAGACTGCATAACAGGAACACTTCAGACTGGAAGTCCCAAGGTGGTGAGTACAGTAAAGTATAACCCACAACAGAATAGCAGGAGGCCAAGACAAGAATATGATGAGAGTAACAGAGCGATGGTTGTCACACTGGCGGAAGTGGTCAGATTGGCTCAATCACAAAGAAATTGACTGGGAGAACCTGAAGCCACATGGAGACCCAGAAACGTGGAGTGCTAAAATGATGGAGGTGTTACTGGAGAACCTAATGCATTAACACGTTAAGGACACTACCAGAGAAAGAGAAGAGGACGAACCAGCAAGACTGGACCTGGTATTCACCTTGAGTAGTACAGATATTGAAGACACCACGGGGCCAGTGACCACGTGGTTCTGAGCTTCGAATACATAGTAGATTTACATGTGGAAAGAAAAGCAGGATGAAGGAAAACTACAAGAGAGGGGACTACAAAGGCATTAGGAATTTCCTGCATGAGGTTCAGTGGCACAGAGAGCTAGCAGTAAAATCAGTAAATTAGATGATGGAATATGTGACAACAATATGCAAAGAAGCAGAGGAGAGATTTGTACCCATAGGCAACAGAAGTAATGAGAAGGTGTAGAGAGGCTAAAACCAAGTACACTAGAGAATGGAAGAATAGAATTCGAAGGACTCAGGTGAATAAGGAGAGTAGTCGAAGAGCCAGAAATGAATATGTACAATTGCTGGACACAATATTGCTGGACACAATACATACAACCGAGGAGGAGGCGAAGAGGCTACTAAGCGAACTAAATACCTCAAAGGCGATGGGGCCGGATAACATCTCTCCGTGGGTCCTAAGAGAAGGAACAGAGGCACTATGTCTACCACTAACAACAATCATCAACACATATATCGAAACAGGACGGCTAGCTGAGGTACAGAAGAAAGAAAATCCAGTCCCAGTTTTTAAAAAGGGAGACAGACATGCAGCAGTAAACTAGACCAGTGTCACTGCCATGTATAGTATGCAAAGTCATGGAGACGATTATCAGAAGAGTGGTGGAGAACCTGGAAAGGAATGAGCTTATCAATGACAACCAGCTTGGATTTAGGAACGGGAAATCCTGTGTCACAAACCTACTGGAGTTCTATAACAAAGTGATAGCAGTAAGACAAGAGAGAGACAAGGGTGGGTATAGTGCGTTTTCTTGTACTGTAAGAAGGCTTTTGACACAGTTCCACTCAAGAGATTAATGCATAAGCTGGAGAACCAGGCAGATATAACAGGGAAGGCACTGCAGTGGATCAGAGAATACCTGAGGGGAAGGTATCAGCGAGTCATGGTACGTAACGAGGTGTCAGAGTGGGCACCTGTGATGAGCGGGGTTCCATAGGGGTCAGTCCAAGGACTGGTTCTGTTTCTGGTATATGTGAATGACGTGAATGAAGAAATAGACTCAGAAATGTCTGTGTTTGCAGATGATGTAAAGTTAATGAGGAGTATTCAGTTGGAGGAGGACCAGGCAGAACAACAAATGGATCTGGAAAGGCGGCAGACCTGGTCCAGCAACTGGCTCCTGGAGTTCAACCTCACCAAGTGTAAAGTCATGAAGATCGGAGAAGGGCAAAGAAGACCGCAGACAGAGTACAGACTAGGTGGACAAAAACTACAAATCACACTTAAGGAAAAGTATATTTTTGTAAGTATAATACCGAGCACATCTCCTAAGGCGCACATCAACCAAATAAGTACTGCAACATATGAACGCCAAGCAAACCTAAGAATAACATTCTGACATCTCATTAAAAATGTTGAGTACGTTGTACACCGTGTACGTCAGACCCATATTGAGTATGAAGCACTAGTTAGGAATCCACACCTGGCAAAACACGCCAAGAAATTATAGAAAGTGCAAAGATTTGCGACAAGACAAGTTCCGGAGCTAAGGGGCATGTCCTACGAGGAGAGGTTAAGGGAAATCGACTTGACTACTCTGGAGGACAGTAAGGATAGGGAGGACATGATAACGACATATAACATACTGAGAGAGGTCGACAGGGTGGGCAGAGACACTATGTTCCAGAGATGGGACACAGTAACAAGGGATCACAATTGGAAGTTCAAGACTCAGACGAGTTACAGAGATGTTAGAGACTATTTCACCCTCAGGATTTGTCTTGAAAGTGATGTATGTAGTGGAGGCAGGATCCCTACATAGCTTTAAGAAGAGGTATGGTATAGCTCACGGGGCAGGGAGTGACCTATTAGCGACCAGTGGAAAGGAGGGCCAGGAGCTATGATTCGACCCCTGCAGTCACAATTAGATGAGTAGACATACACACACACACTGCGTGGAATAGACAAGGTGGACAGAGAGGATGTTCCAGAGAGGGGACACAGACACAAGGGGTCACTCTTGGAAGTTGAAGACTCAGACGAGTCACAGGGATATTAGGAAGTATTTCTTCAGTCATAGATACAGGTGTAGTACTAGAAAGTTTAAGAGACACAGGTGTAGCACTAGAAAGTTTAAGAGACACAGGTGTAGCACTAGAAAGTTTAAGAGACACAGGTGTAGCACTAGAAAGTTTAAGAGACACAGGTGTAGCACTAGAAAGTTTAAGAGACACAGGTGTAGCACTAGAAAGTTTAAGAGACACAGGTGTAGCACTAGAAAGTTTAAGAGACACAGGTGTAACCACATCACATCACACAGAGAAAAAGAAAACATTAGAATTAACATGTTAGTTATCTGCATATAGATATATAAAAATATGAGCTAAGTGTCACTATGGAGCAGAAACTTAGTGTGAACAACTAGCAGTGTTAATAGAGGATGACATTATGCTGCTTATGTGTTTATATTTCCATTGTGTCGGTATTTTATATCATTCATATCAAACTAGCAATGTCCGTTACAAGTACATCGATAATGTAAATTGTCAGTGATCTAGAAAACTGTTAATGTTATTTATGCATTTTAGAAGGAAGACATGAACAAAATATTATAAAGAGCCCAGAATCACCATAAAAGAACCAGAAATGGTGGTCATTTAGAGGGGAAATGGTTTAATAAACAATTGCTAGCACTCGTTTAGAAATCGAATACATTTCATCGCAAACTAGTTGGAGTTCCATGAGAGTAAGAGAAGTAAGACAGAAGAGAGAGAGTGGGAAAGAGGCACCGAATTTCCCAAGATTCCAAGGAAACCTTGTGATGCTAAACCATTGAAGAAATTTAGACAAAAAAAATTTGAGTTGCATGAATGCATAGAAGGAACTGTAGTACAGAATATCAAAGAAAAATTGATGTGATGACGCTGATTGTTGAAGAATGTGTGTCTGAATACGCAAGTGTAACAAATGGAGATCTAAATGGGTTGGCACTATCAATAGTATTGTTTTTGGTATATGTGAATAACATTAAAGGAGACTGAGTCAGATTATACCTGTGTAGGGATGATGAGAATTTAATACTAATAAAAATCGATGCAGACAAGGCTACAAGTGGGGGTAGACAAACTGCAAAATAATGGTCTGGCAAACTGTTCCTGCAACCGAACTCAACGAAGTATTAAGTAACGGAAAATGGAGGAAGAAGGAACAAAACAATTAACTGAGTATGAACTCAGGGAACAAATGGCGAGAAGCATGACAATGAGCACCTAGGGATGAGCATAGTGCCGAGCATATTACCAGACCTAACTGAATAAACACTGTTTCAAATGCTCGCTTAGCGAATCAATATTAACCTTCAGGAATCTCCACGAAGATTCATTCTCTACTAACGGCAAGCCCTTCCTCGAGACTGTATTCCCATAGTGGAACCCACTGGTGAAAACGAATGCGAAGATACTGTAGAAGATAGAGATATCTGCAATGAGATTAGTCCAGAAATTGTGGGAATAAGCTAAAAGGAGAGAATATAGGAAATGAACGTGATGAAATTAATCTACTGAAGAAACCAAAGAAATATGGAAAAATAAATCAAAATATGCAAACTTGATAAAGCGGGAAGGAATGGAATATTGACAAGACTAGAGACAGGTATACAATGGCATGGAAGATAAAGACGGTTATAGGGATTCCAGGAAGTACTTCTTCAGTCTCATATTAGACAGGGAAAAAAACGATAATTATAAAGACGTATTGAATGCAAAATTCCTAGAGTTTTAAGATTAAATGCAACAATGCTCACGGTATTACAAGACACGTGACAAGTTAGGAATCATGACCAGGAGCTACATTCCAGCCATGAAACCATCTAACAAACTAGAAACGGAAGACCTATCTCACAAAACCACAAACTCAGCATTACAAGACAACAAACACATGTCACATGGGATACGTCAGTAAAAATACAAACATGAAAGGGACGAGGGAATGAGACACATGTGAATACCAATGTTATGATATAATATTTACTACATTGTTGAGCAAAAAACTAGACGTAAGATTAATGGGATGAAAGAAGAGTCAGACTTCTGATAATTTACAACCTTAAAAAAAACTGGTGGGTAAGAATAAGTGAATGATGGAACCTTCAGGAGGATGATGGTTGGGTAGGATTATATCTTCAGGAGGATGATGGTTGGGTAGGATTATACCTTCAGGAGGAGGATGGTTGGCAGGATTATACCTTCAGGAGGATGATGGTTGGGTAGGATTATATCTTCAGGAGGATGATGGTTGGGTAGGATTATATCTTCAGGAGGATGATGGTTGGGTAGGATTATACCTTCAGGAGGAGGATGGTTGGCAGGATTATACCTTCAGG